CTGGGCTCTGGGCATCTGGGCATCTGGGCTCTGGGCTCTGGGCTCTGGGCATCTGGGCTCTGGGCTCTGGGCTCTGGGCATCTGGGCTCTGGGCTCTGGGCTCTGGGCTCTGGGCTCTGGGCTCTGGGCTCCAGACCTGGCAGTGCTTTTCATGATCTTACCTTGAGCCTAACGCCTGACTTCCCTGGGTCCCATGTGTGCCCTGGGAGAGGAGCCTGCCTGTTTTTCTCCTGAGGTTGAAGAGCTAGTGAGATGAAAGATGTGTACGCTTGTTTCTTAAACTATAATGTGTTCTTCAGAATGCAAAAGTTTGTTTGCATTTTGAAACCCTGCACACACACACACACACACACACACACACACACACACACACACCCCTATGCACACGCATATGCAAGCACACTTGGCCTTCAGTAGATACGTCTGACTGATGCTCTGCCCTCCCTATCTTCAGCTTTTTCTCTTTCCTCTTCTACCTCCCAGCCTCCCAGCCATGCTGCTTACCTGGATTCATCTTTAGGGGGCAAGAGCAGGAAGCGACACACAGGACTCCTGTGGTTAACAGAGAACGTTTTAGTTTGCAGTCGTGTGGCCCCCCAATCTAATCTCTTTCCTTCTTCCCTCCTAGGGCTGCGCACACACAGTCCCTTCACTTAAAGGGGTGCCTGCCAAGTGCCCTGGTCATGCCACCCCTCCCCTGTAGGTCTCTGTGTAAACACCTGGCATAGAGGTGGGATACAGAGGCTCAGGGAGGTCAGTGTATCCAGAGCAGGGAGGAAGAACAGACTGATGAGGATGCGGGCCCGGGAGATCTTAAGTGTGTTGTTCTTGCTGCACAGATGAATGGAGAGCCTTCCAGGGTCCTCACTGCTTATTATTGTCTCCTCCCACAAGGATTGGGAGAGGGTGGGAGGTTTAAGGTCTGAGACAATTTGTCACTCACTGACCAGCTCTCATCATGTAGAACTGTTGAGGTCTAGCCTCATCTTTTGGGGCCTGGTGTGCAAATCGCAATTAACAAGCCCAGAATGGACCAGTAGCTACAACACAATACGCTTGAAGACTCAAGGTATCAAGGCTCTCTGAACTCATATGGTGACTGAGCATATGAGCACAGATGTTCACACACACACACACACACACACACACACACACACACACACACACTCCTCTAACACAAAAGATGTAGAGCTACAGATCAAATGCAGAGCCTCGTACTTGGAAAGCAGGCTCTCTAAGACCACTGAGCCTCACTCCAGCCCCACCAACCACTCATTCTCATTGGCTTCTGTACGTTCAGCTGAAATCAGTCCCCAATCATGATCATAGTCTTTCTCACGAGCTCCTCTTTTTTAAAAAAAATTTATGTGTATGAGGGTTTTGCCTGGGCTTATGTCTGGGCACCATGCTCACATGCAATGCCCACAGAGGTCAGAGGAGGATGCCAGGTACCCAGAAACTGGAGTTACATGTGGCTGTGAGATGCCTACCTTGTGGGCGCTGGGAATTGAACCCAGGTTCTCTAGAAGAGCAGCCAGTGGTCTTGACTGCTGAGCCATCTCTCCAGCCCAGGTTGCCCCCTACTCTTTAACCTTGACTAACAATGAGCTTGGAAGAGTCTCATGAGGCTGGACTTAGGGGTGTGAGGGGAGGTAAAGGAAATCTTTGGTTCAATCAAGACCTGAATTAAAAGCAAGAGAAAAGACAGTCCTTGGAATGTCTTTTCCATTAGGGTCTAGCTAACCGAGAAGCAGGAATTGCCAGCTCTAGAAAGGACTCAAAGTACAAGCCTGACATGTCAGTTCTAACTCCTGCAGAGCGGAGGAACAGGAGCCATTCTGGAAGGTGGGGAGGGCAGGTATACAGACACACATACAAATACACACCACTGGGCACAGACACATTCAATCTTTTTGAAACAGACCAGCATGTGCAGACATCCTTACAAAGACCCAGAGGCAGAGGCAGAGGCGCAAATACACATCCAGAGAGACGAGGACCACACAGACATCCCATCCACTCTCACAGAGCCCTCTCCCATTACACCATCAGCAAGCGAGGCCAGGTCCTTACCTGAGAGTGCAGAGTCAGGGACAGGAAGGCTGTCTCTGTCTCTCACCGGAGAGTATTTGTACAAGAGAGGGTGGGGCTGGGTCAGGTCATATACTTGGGAGCGTCTAGAAGAGAGGGTTCAGGGAATGAAGAAGGATGGGATAATCTCTACCTGGGCAAAGAGCACTAGGAAATAGGATGGGGAAGGGTGGAGGGTGTGGGTGTGTGTATGGGTGTGTGGGTGTGGGTGTGTGCGTGTGTTTGGGGGTGGGGTGAAGCAGCTGAGAAGAGTGGAGAGCATCCTCAGAGCCAGATTCAAGGTCACAAGTGAGTGCTTCCACCATCTCTTCCCAGCAGGTGGAAGAGGAAAAGGAACCCTAGGCACATTCTTGCCTTGGATTCCATGTCCCAGATGAGTTCTTAAGTTGCTGCCCAGTCCGGCGAGCTTGTCTGGAAACAGAAATCACACACAGAAAAGGGGACAGTGGGAGTGAGGTCTGGATGGGGCAGAAAGGATGAAAACTTTGGGAAGCCAGGCTGCCAGCTTGCTCTGCCTTTACCAAGTCCTTTGTGGGCCGCTCCCACTGCCGCCCCGGCACCTGTGTGTGCCACGGTAATTTGCTTTGTGTGCTCTCTAAAGCAGACCAGAAGCCCTGCCTTCTGGGATCCTTTCTTCTAAGGCTTCCTATTTCCACTGACCTCTGTACGCCTCAGATTCAGGGACACATGGCTTCCTCGGTCACTTGGCCATTGACCACTCTCCCGGCATTACTAAGTATCTAGTAAATTCAGTAAATGAAATTTATTTTTCTTTTAATTTTTAAAAAGTTTATATGGCTGGGCGGTGGTGGTACATGCCTTTAATCTCAACACTCGGGGAGGCAGAGGTAGGTGGATCTCTGTGAGTTCGAGGCCAACCTGGTCTACAGAGTGAGTTCCAGGACAGCCAGGGCTACCCAGAGAAACCCTGTCTCAAAAAACCAAACACAACAATAAAAGCTTCTGTGTACAGGTGTCTTGCCTGCAGGTATGCCTGGGCACTCTCTACATACAGTGCACATGAAGAGCAGCCAGAATCCCCTGGAGCTGGAGTTACAGACACTTGTGAGCTGTGATATAGAAGCTGAAAATTGAACCCAGGTCCTCTGGAAGAGCAGCCAGTGCTCTTAACCGCTGAACCATCTCTCCAGCCCCCTAGCGAACAGATTTTGATAAATTTGCTGTACTTAGTTGTTGTTGGATATAACTGGCTTCCTTTTTGTGAGGTTTATATTTGTGTAGATTTTTTTCTCTTTCTTGTTTATGTATTTTTAAAAATTATTTTCTGGAAGATGGCTGTGCTCTGTCCTGATATTGCTGTGCTGCTCAAAACAAGAGCCTCACCAGTTAGGCTAGAGCGAGAACCTAACAAAATAACAATGAAAACGAGGCTGGTGATGGCTCAGTTTCGGGAACAGCTGAAGACAGAGACAAACTCTAACTTTCCCCATCGTATGAATTAATAAGCTGATTGTGGTGCATACATCAAACAGCATGAAGGAATAAACAATTGATGCAAACCACACTATGGCAGAGTCTCCAACTAATTATGTGGAGTGAAAGGAGCCACACACAATGAATACGTACTGTATGTTTTTGTCTAGAATAAAGAACCTGGAAACTGATGAGGACGGCAGACCAGTGGGCAGAGGAGGAGACACCAGGGACGGGCAGGAAGACATAAAAGGGTTGGTGTTATGGCTTCACGAAGTATACACATGGCAAAACAGTTTGCACAGTTCAAATATGCATGGTTTATAGCACATCAATGTGACCTCAATTAGAGTTGTAAAATGAAAAGTACCATAGCCACCGTCAGAAAACAAGATAAAAGTATTGAGGAACAGGGAGAGTCTTCTTTATCTCAATGGTGGGGAGGGAGGCACCTGCCGATCAGGATCTCCTACAGCGTTAGGGATCTCAGATCACCTCTAGGTGGTTTTGTTATGTTATATTTAATATTTGCTTGCATGCATATGTACAAAATACCAATACCACCTAGAGTTTATATACATATGTATTTTATATATAACCTTATATAATATGTAACATTATTTTATATTATATATAATATATAAAAAACATTATATTATGAGTATTTTGCAGGTGTATCTGTGCATCACTTGAATGCCTGGTGCTCTTGGAGGCCAGAAGAGGGAGTCGGATCTCCTAGAACTGGAGTTACACATGGTTTTCAGCTGTCATGTAGGTGCTGGGAATTGAACTCTGGTCATTTGGAAGAGCAGCCAGTGTTCCTAATTGCTGAGCCATCTCTTCAGACCTCCCCCCTAGGAGGTACTACCTTCACCCCTCTTTTTAATTTTTTAAAATTTTGCTTGATGTATATGAATGTTTTGCTTGCATGCATATAGGTATCTCACATACAAGCCTATTGGATCCCCTAGAGCTGGGGTTACTCAAGGCTGTGAGTCACCTTGTGGGTGCTGGGAGTCGAACCCTGGCTTTCTGCAAGAAAGAGTGGGCCTAATCACTAAACTGTCTCTCCAGACTAATCCTCATCTCTTTCAGAGGTGGGGCTTCAATCTTGAGACAGGGTCTCAAGTATCCCAAGCTGGCTTCAAACTTAGAACAGAACAGAAGATAAACTTGAACTCTTGATCCTTCTGCCTCCACCTCCTAAGTACTGGAATTGCAGTATATATCACCACATCCAACCTGCTTTTGGTGTGTGCGTGCCTGTGCGTGTGTGCGTGTGCATGTGTGCGTGTGTGTGTGTGTGTGTGTGTGTGTGTGTGTGTGTGTGTATGTTGAGACAGTCTCTCATAGCTGAGACTGACCTTGAATTTCTGATCCTCTGCCTCCATCTCTGGAGTTTTTGAATTATAGGGATGCCTTACCACGCTCAGCTTTATTTTCCCTTCTTTGACAGATTCAAAATGGACCATGGTTCAGAGGCATTAAGGTATTCAGAGGTATTGCCAGTGTGCAGCAGTCCTAATCAGGGGCTGCCTGAATCTAGAGCCTGGGCTTTTCTTAGGTTGGGCCATCTTCCTTTCTGGAAGGCGCTTCTAAAAAAGCCTCCAGCCTGCTTTGGAAACGTCTATGCAGAGGGCTTTGGTTTATAAGTAGGCGGGAAGCTTCGACTCTGCTCTGTGTACAATCATTGCCATTCTGAGGAGAGTGAGCCAGGGCAGAGGCAGCCGACAGGCAGGGCCCCAGAAGAGGTTTGCAAAGGTGGGGTGCCTACGAAGCTCCCACATTGCAGGCCATGCCGAGCAGATGGTACTTCCTATGCCCACCACCCCCCTGTGTTGCCCAGCCTTCCTCTTCCAGGAATCTTCCTGTTCTCTTTAAGGGACGCTCATACTACGTCTACTGCACTGGCAGCCTCTGGCAGGAGGCTGAAGAGAGAGCTCCTGTGTCCTCACAGACCTCCCCAGGAAGGGGGTGGGGGAGCAGTGCTCTGCTCCAGGCTCCAGCTTTGGGGCCCCGGTTCCTGCTTTCTCTGGGGTCAAGCTTTGCGCCCCTGGCCTAGGACAGGGCAGGCCAAAGCAGAGGTGCTGACAGCTGGCAAAGAGGAGCTAGACTTTGTCTTGATGGGATAGATGGAGAAGGTGAGGCATTGTGGGTAGCCTGGGGGCCAGAGACCTTCAGGAGACAAGGAGGCTGCCAGAGCAGTGGTGGGCATACTGGAGCACCCACAGCAGAGCGTCTGCTGCGTCTTGCCCTCCACAACCCCAGCAGAGCCCCGGTCACACATGTAGTCCCTCTATCCCTCGGGGAGTACATGGCCTCCAAATGCTTGGTTTAAGGCTGGGTGGACAGAGGACAACTTCCTGCCCGAAATCCCTGAAGAGGTGACCTGGTAGAAGGTGAGGGGGACATGTCTGTGGTGAGAAGCTGGAACCAGGATCAGGATCAGGAAAAAGAGATGTTAGGGAGTCTCCTGGGGGTGGGGGAGCACATGGGGTCTTTGGGCTGATGGGGACATACAGTAGTCTCCCAAAGCAGGACACTAACCCTCTCTGTGACCTTCCAATATTTGTCAGGAGAGCTAGCCAGCCACTCTGCTCCCTGGCCTGCCCAGCAGGCTAAAGGGAGGGCAGACATCTGTCCAGATGCCTTGGTTTGGTGGCGGTGCCCACAAAGGTGGCCCACCCTGGATATGGGCTGGAGAAAGCGCTGAAGGGCTATTGGCCTCCGTGACTCAGGAAGTGCCAGAGGGGAGGGAGGCCTCACCCACAGAGACATTTAATGGGGTCACTGACCTGATCTCCACAGAGATGCCAACAGCACCAGCCCAGGCTCATTCACAGATTTCAAAACTTGAGGAGATCAAGTGACGTCACAGGTGTGGGACTCAGCGAGCGAGCGTAAGCTGTGGGGTACAGCGTGTTGCTGTAGAGTATAAGCATCCCTGGCTATTTGGCTCTCTAACCCCATTGCTCCTCCCCTTACTTCACACATCGTCACCTTTGGCTTTTGCACCCACCCTTCAGAATGTTTCCAGGTTGCTCCTGAGGGACGCCTTGATGCCCCCATCTCCTTTGTTGGAACATTCAGGAGGACGAACGCATATTCCTAGCAGAGGACTCTGTACTAAAACAGCGACAGATACGGGCAAACAGAGACAACTAGTCATCCTGTCCCTCCTTCCACCCTTCCGGCTGCCAACTTTTTCTTAGCAGCTAGCCTGGTGACCACGGGATCCTAAGCCTGACCTTGGGACATGCGTTTTTTTCACCTGGTTGTGCTCTGTTGCCTGTAAGCCTCAGGTCCAGTGAAGGCTTCTTACCATGCTGCCCAGTCCCTAGCCCCACAGTGCCTGGCCAAATCCTACCCACACTTCAGCCTGCTCATGGCTTCCGTTCCTGTCACCCCTCAAAACTGTGCCAGACCCCTCTATTCCCACCAGGTGTGGCCTCGCCCACACCCCAGCCTGAGGTGGTGAGCTTCAAGGTTGGTAGAACCTGTGTAGCCCAAGATGGTCTTCCAGCTTATCTCTGGACCTCTGCCTTTTGCTCCAGGCCCACATGAGGAAAGCACTACGGACCACAGGCTAGCTCTTTCTGACTCCTGCTTTCATGAGGACTCCTGGCTTGAGACTTCCCAACTGTCCTGGCTGTTGGTGGCTATTGGTTCCCCAAAGGCCACTCTCTGGTGTCTGGATACTGCTGGGGATGCCCATCCCTCAACTGACCCATCTGAGACTTTCTGGCTTCAGTTTCCTAGACTGTCATGTGGCCTCACCAGCCCTGCCGTGGAACCTTCCATGAGTTCCCTGACTTCTTCACCTCTCAGGCCACCCTCTAGTGACCTCGCTAGTCTGGCTGCTAATTTGACATCCTCCTCTTGTTAGTAAAGGCCACCATCCACATACCTTTAATCCAAGCACTGGGGAGGCAGAGGCAGGTGGATCTCTGAATTTGAGGCCAGCCTGGACTACAGACAGAGCCAGTTCCAGAAGGGACACACACATATATACACACACACACACACACACACACACACACACA